CGTGGTTTTGCGCAACTCGTCAGTGAACAACGGCTCTGTGTAGTTAATGCTGCTCAATGTGAAAGCCCGCAGGTGATGGAGATTTACCGCTGATTACAGAAGCGGCTTTACTGATAAGATGCGCGTTAAATATCGCATGCGATTTATCGTGCAGCCCTAATATATATATATATATACAGGGTGCAATTTGTGAAAAAAGCAGAGGGGGGGATGATTTTGAAAACTTTTTTTCAGAGCAAGGCTTTAAAGTATAATGTTAGTGTAATCTGTTAACAAAGCACATCAATAACCCGTCTTTTTAAACAAGTACCAGATAATGTGTGTCATGTCGTCATTTTAATACGACTGAAACTGGCTATTTAACGTGATCACAATTTAATAAAAACATTAGGCCGATTAATTAATTTCAACGGTTATTTAAACTACGAATAAATTATATAGGAAAGTGAGCAAAGAACATACATTTTACAGTATCAACGTAGCTTTTTGAAACTCCGAATCAGTTAAACCATTGCGTCGCAAAATTATTCACTGTTTTGAATTGCTCCAATCGGATCGCGTATCACGAATCACTTGATTCAGATCGGGACTTCGGCGCTGTTCACGGAATGTTTTTTATCCACACCGGTTCATGATATTCTAATTTTTTGAGATGTACCTGTATATATATATATTCTGATTTTCCCTACGTAAATGAACAAGTGGTAATCTGGATTTGTGGTCTGGATCTGTGCCATTGTATGCAATGGTAATCATTTATACCTCATTATTTATGGAAATTAAACTAAAACAAAGTTTATATATTACGTAAAAATGTCGTAATGGCTATTTTTGGTTTCTTCCACACAATTCAAAGGTACTTAATCTCAATTGATAGTTTAGATTATAAAAATATTTCCTTTTTATTTGGAACTCGATGGATGCAAACCAAAAGATAAGAGCAATCAAAACAAATGAAAGATTCGTCTCATGTTGCATAACACTGGAGTTGATCTCTGATCCATTCTGATGGTCTTATTTCTCTCAGCTGTTGGGTGTGTTCATGCCAGCTGTGAGAAGATGTTTTGTGAAATTCATCACTACAAATATCTCCCATTTCAGCTACCAGGGGGAAGTTTTGCTTTTTATTTACATGGGCTGCTATTTTATTTCTCTCTTGTTTTGGGAAACTCTCTTTTGGCTCTTAAAATGAGATACTATTGGACCCTTTGATTTTCTGCCAAAAAGCGCATTCTTGTTTTCACTGGTAGATGGAGTTTGTGCAATAGATACTGTACTGTAGTTCAGTTCTGGAGAATGAATTGCACCTGCTGATAGCACTGTTTTATTTGCATGCGCTATCTGTGTTGTTTTAGCAAACTCAGGAATTATGCAAATCAGGTAACAGTGCAAACATGCCCACAGAATCTATGAAAAGCATTTGAGATCCACACACCTAAAATCATCTACTCCTTTTACATTATTTGATCATCACTTAATAAATATAAATACTTCCAATTTTAGTATAAAAGTAATAGACAAATAGACTTCATTTACATTAGGTGCTCTTTCAGGGCATTTAGAACCTGGTGAAGATGGAATATGGGTGGTTATTGAATAAGGTTAGTGAATATGTTTGTTTAAAAGTGAATGAACGCACAAACCTTATGGGCTTCCAAAATGATTGTGGGACCAGGGGAAATCCTTAATATTAAAGGAGTGTTCAGGGATTGTTACACCTTGTATTTTGCACATTCTGAGATTAGCCAGAATCTCCTGAGAGTAGTGTAATGTTGTACTTGTTTTCCAAAACACTGTGGTGCAAGTACAATGTTCATATGTCATATACCACTCACAATCATGCGTTATTTACATGTATTTCACCAAAATGCACTGAATGCAAACTGCTTTTCGATTAAAATCAGCCGTAGAGAGATATACTTGATTTACTGTGGCTGCAATGCCTAGAAAACACAACAAATCCAGATTTTCAAGGCTAAAAATGGGCTTCACCAAAAGGTATCTTTCCAAAAAGCTAGACTTCAAACACTTTGGCCCTGATTTGAATGCTCTCTTCCAAAACATAGTAAGCTGCCTTACTGTCTGCTCCCTAAATAGGGAGTCGGCTTCTAAGGCAGAATCGTATACAAATAGCTCTGCTCACTATTGTATACAGTAAGCAAGCTCGTGATTTCAGTAAAGCTTGGTGGTAGCCTGTTGCAAAAATAACTATGTAAAACTAACTGTAAGAATATATTGGACATTGTACTGAATGAATATATAAATAACATAATACAAATATAAATAATTACAACAACAACAACAATAATAATAATAATAATAATTATTATTATATAAATTAAATATTTTTATATTTAATTTTTTGTGTATTTAATATAATATAATAATAATACATATACATATATATAGAGAGAGATGGAGAGAATGCAATATTTATTTACACACAAATATTAATTAATATGTATTGAATTCATATAAATAATACATATAAACATAATATAAACTGTAATATTGAAACTGTATATTTTATATATATAATTTACTTTTATTTTTTAATTAATAAGTATTTATTCTAAAAAAAAAAATTTAAATAATGCAGCGCTTGTCACAATGTACATTGTACATTTTTTAACAGTTTTAATTTCAGGCACACACTAAAACGCTTCCTACTTAGGAATCTCACTAGGTTTTGGAACAAAGCCCTAGATTAAAAGATGGCTGCACTTCTCTCTGATTGCCTTGAAATCCAGACCTGAGGAGAGAGTGAGGTCACAGATGGGGGGCCTGATTGTGGTTACATCCTTGGCAAGCTTACGCCTCACCAATGACCAAATTGTTTTCTTTGGTCTGCCCTGCTGCACACAGGGAATGCAGGATATTTTCATATCTCTTGTTTATCTCTGCGATCAATCTTTCCCCACTATAGTTTATTCAAGCCGTACTGAACATCAGATATGCGTTTAATAGACTGTTCAGCGCTGACATGTTTGAGGTGAGGCATTCTTCTGAAAAAAACTGGATGGTTTCGTGATGTCATGTGCTGTGAGACACAAGACTTGCTTGTGCTTGAGCGAATGTTGTGAGTTCGATGCCTTCGATGCACACCAAGGGTTGTAGACATGAATTGTAAATGCTGAAGTTCTCTAACCATTCTCTGATCTTCTGGCTTTTGCAGGAGCTTGAGTCTGATCCAGGCCATGGAGGAAAACTATGAGGTGGACCTGGTCTACATCACAGAGCGCATCATTTCTGTGAGCTTCCCCAGTAATGTAGAAGAGCCGAGCTACAGCGCTAACATAAAGGAGGTCGCCACCATGCTACGCTCCAAACATGGTGACAACTACTTGGTGAGACCTCAAAACTCAATAGCTTTGAGTACTAATATAAGTGTTTTAGTAGTTGCAGTGCTATTACAGATTTTGGAAAAAAAAAAGGTAAATAATAGTGAAAACATTTTATTTAGATTCATATAATTTATTTATTTTTATTGGTGTTATTTATTACTTTAATAAACTAAACATGACATTTTTACAGCTCTTCAACCTCAGTGAAAAGCGATATGATATCTCCAAGCTGAATCCCAAAGTAAGTAGTATTTACTTTCACTTTTTTAACATTATCTAATGTGGAGATTTTTGTTCCTTTGTTCTTACTTGCACTCCGCTGTGTTTGTTTGCGTAAGGTGCTGGATTTTGGCTGGCCGGACCATCACGCTCCAGCCCTGGATAAGATCTGCAGCATCTGCAAAGCCATGGACACTTGGATGAACGCTGACAGTCACAATGTGGTGGTCTTACACAATAAGGTACTGTTTCACTTGTGCTTTTTTTTGCTTTGGGTATGGGAGCCATGTTTTTTGGTAACACTAGCAACAAACATCACAATGTCACACAGTATGTAAAAAAAAAAACCTAGTGAGATGGGCTTTAAAACATTATAAGTGCACTACTGATTTGAAGGCTGCTCCAAAAATTTATTCAGCAGACAATCCCATAATGCATCGAGGCCAAAAAATCCACCTAAGGTCATAAATAAATATATAAATGAATATATATATATATATATATATATATATATTAT